ACTGATTGAATATGGTAAAAAATTTTTTTTGTCTGGCACGCTTATCTGTCATTTTAAATTTTATATTAGACGAAAGTAAATAAAAATGGATGAATAAAGGTTTTTAATTATTCATTAGAGTTTAATTTATATATAGAATATTTTCAACCTTACTATCCGCATAATTCTATTCTATTCTCAATGTGCTTTACATTTTTTGTATTTATTTTATCGTAACAATTGCTGTCTTGCTTTTTTATTTAAATTGACATTACATTATATATAAAAAGCAGTAAATTTACCCAGTTTTATATTATTTACAGAAAAAATAAACAATCTGTTAATACTTTCAATAGACAACTAAGTATTTAGCTTCGATAATAAATTAATTACTTAACCCATTAAATTTAATTATTTATCATATAATTATCTACTTTTCTTATTTAGTTTAATTTAATCCAATTTGAATTAAGCTTAATTATAATTATATTTAATTATAATTGGTTCAATTTAGCTTAATTAAAGCAATTTAATTTTTTAGAATAATAAGAAATTTTTATTATTTGGTATAATTAACTAATTCAATTATTTAGCTCAATTAATCAATTCAATTATTTGGCATAATTAATTCATTCAATTATTTCGCCTTATTAGTTAATTAAATCTTTTAACATTATTAGTTAATTATAAATTATTTAGTAATAATCAATTAATTTTGTTATTAAATTTTTTTACCAATTGAATTACCAATTCAATTACTTAACAGTTAACACAGTTAATTAATTTAGTTATTTAGCCTAATTAACCACTTCAATTATTTAACTAATTTATTAATGCAATTGTTTTAACAAGTATTCAATTTAATCAAATTAATTAATCATTTTTCTTAATTAATTCTTTAGTGTAGTAAAATATTTTTTTTTAGAAAAAACAGTTATTGATGAAAAATAAATTTATTTTCTGATAATTTGATATTATGTTTCTATTTTGTATATCTATATAAGAAAAAAATCTGATGAAATTTCGAAAATTTTTTAACAACACTTTTCTTGCTTTTTACATTTAAATATTCTTTGTGAACAGACAGAATTATAAAAAAGTAAAAAATTTTCCGTGATTAATAAATTTCTCGCTATTGACTAAGGCGTCGAATTCACGTGCCAATCACGTTAAAAATTAATAATTTTAATACATATAGTTTGGTAGAACTAAAAGCTCATCACTTACAGTTCATTGAAGCTTATAATTGCAACTCTTTAGTTCACGTGAATTTTTAATAATGACGATAATGAAACTTAAATTTTTTGCAAGACGGTTTAAATATTTAAATAAATGAATAATTTAAATAAATAAATAAATAAATTATTATAATATAATAATAATAAAATAAATTTATAAATATATAATGTACAGACAAATAATGATTAGAATAATAAGTAATTGTTATTAATATGAATAAAAATACCTAATAATAGTTTTTATTATTTTTCAACAATAATATGGAAAATAAGAAAGTAATAAAAAATAATAAGAACTATTAATTAATTTCTTTAATAATTATTAATAAGAGGCTATTAATTTTTTTTTATTTCGCTTGGTTAAAATTCTCATTACTAATTTGCAAAAAAAAAAATGTGAAAAATTGTAATTATATTGCAATAATGCATTTTGAGAAAGAAAAATACACACAAAAAAAGGATATATTTCTCTTGAATCGAAATTCGATCTAAATTTAAATGGTGAATTTTTTCGATGTAATGTTTCTTTTTTCTCTTCTCTCTTCTCTGTTCTCTTCTTTTTTTTTATTTGTCATTTTCTATGTATAATTTTGCTCGCGCGCGCACGCTTGGAATTGAAAAGAAATTCGAGTTGGTTTGACTCGAGAGAGTTAAAGTGTCAGCTTTGGCAAACTGGGAAACCGTTCATTTTACTAGCAACAAGCAAGCGCACAGGAAAGCAAATACTCAAGAGTTTGTAGCGATCAAACACACAGTGGGAAGAAATACATGTATAAATACGTGTGTATACATATATATATTGTATAAGAAGAACTTGGGAATCGAGAACCCATCAAAACTACCAAATGTCCGACAAACACTTGTCGTTTCACAACGACTTGTCAAAAAGTCAAAAGACTTGATGGCTTCAATAACCAATATACGCGTGGCGTTGTTTTAATAGTGTTTCAGAAAAAAGAAACAAAAATTTAGCATCTTTTTTATTTTAATTGTCTTTACACATATGTTGTCATATAATTTAACACGTTTTCTACTTTTGGCAAATTAATTTTTTTCCCACAGGGGCACAGTGTGTTGGGAATTTTAGTGGGGAGAAGAAAAATAAATAATTTCGTCCTAATTTTTTCTATGAATTTGTAACAAAATATTGTTATTTTTAATTTTTATTTTAGTTTTCTTCCTAATTTTTCCTTTGAATTTGAAAAAAAAATTTGTTATTTTAATTTTTTATTTACCATTTTCTTAAATAAAATTTATTATTTCAATTTATTATTTATCAATTTCTTAATAAAGCAAAAACGCTTTTTTTTGAAAATTATTTTACTTCCGTTATTTTTTAAATTGATGAGTAAAAAATTTTTCACGAGTTCTTTAAAAGGTTTTCCTTATTTATTTAGACCACGTTCCAATTTAACGAACTGATTAATTTAATTTAAATTCAACAACGTTTTAGCTTTATTATTTAATAATTATTTAACTTAATTATTTCATAGAAAAAAATCACTTTTGCCCATCAAAACTAAATTGCAAAAATTTAATTCCCCTAAAAAAATTCCTATTTTGCAGGGAAAGTCAATTTTTTCTTTTGAAGAATGAAATATAATATAAAAAAAGTGATAATAAACTGTTAATAAAAGTACTGGATTTATTGGGGGAGGAAAAATAAATAATTCCGTCCTAATTTACTTCTGAAAACTGAAAAAAATGACCTTTTAGTGAATTTTCTATTTAATATTTTTGTAAATAAATAATACTATTTTCTTCAATAAATAAAAAATAAATTTTTTATAAGAAATAAAAATCTATTTTTTTCTTATAAAAAATTAATAACTAATTAATTGATAAAATTTATTTTTCTAATAAATAAATAAAAAACTTTTGACTTTCATTGGCACACTGGGTTAATATTTAATTAAATTGTTCTAAAAACTATTTTATAAAATATTGCAGTACAAATATTTATAGTATAAACTACATCCGTGCTAAAATTTAAAAAAAGAAATTCAATACTAACTTTTCATAAAATAAAAGGAAAAATTCTTTTTGTAATTAAAAAAAAAACATTTTTATATTTGCTTAAAAAATGTAATCAAAAAACAAAAAATATATAATAGTTTTTAAACGTTCAATTGACCAAAAAGAGTATTTTCTTCTTAAATATACTCAAAAAATTTTCTCTTAACATGAAAAATATTATAATTTAAACATTTGCTAAATTAATAAATTAACTTTTTTAATATACAAAATAATTTTTTTTAATAAAATATACAAATTAGGAAGAGTAATAAAATAATTGACATTTCTTTGAAAGTTTTAAAACTTTAGGAACATTTTTAATGAAAAATAAAAATTTAATTTAAAAATTTTGTTTTCATTAAATTAGAATTAATTGAATTAAATCTCAATGCTGGTCAAAATGCCCAAGTCTGTGAACGCAAGGTTAAAAAATAAAAATACTGTATTTTTTTAAGAAAATAAACTGTCTTTTTCTAATAAATGAAGAAACTTAATTTTTATCGGTAATAAATAAAAAAAATACTTTTTTAATAAATAAAAATTTTTTATTTTTAATAAACAATGTTTCTAAAGTTCTAAACGCAAAAAAAACGTTTTTTTTTCTAAACGTTCATTTCAATAAAGTTTATTTCTTCTTTTTGAAAATTCAAATTTGATTATGCTATAATATTTAATCAAATATTAGAGAAATAAATTATAAATATTGTAATTGTTAAATTTTGTTTTCACTTTTTATAACAGTCAGTAATTTTGAAAATATTTATACTCTGACAAAAAATTTTCTTCTTTTGAACGTTTAAAACTTATAGATTAAAATAAAAAAAAGCTTTCTTTTTGCAAATAAATAAAAAAACTTTATTCTTTCTCAAAAATAAGAAAAAAAATTTTTTCTAATAAATAAAACTTTTTGCGGGTTTATTACAATAAAATTTAATTTTCATTATAAAATTCCCTTTTTTCACAAAAAAGGAGAAAATTCGGATTGAAATTCGAAGAAAAAAATACTTTATTTACTTTGCACCGTATGAAAAAAATTTTAGTATTATAATTATTAATTAGTAATATATTTAGTAGTTAAATAATTAAACTTATTAATTACTTAATTAATAATTTAATTAGTTAATTAGGAATTCAATTATTAACTTGATTAATAAATGAATAAATTACACAGTTTTTTGTCTCAATTTAATATTCTTAGAAAAACTGCCTCTACTATCTTAATTAGTAATTTAATTATAAATTTAATTTATTAAATTACTTTAATTTAATAAATGAAAAAACTTTATTTTCGATTAATAAATAAAAAAAACACTTTGCCCAAAAATTTAATTCCCTTTTTTTGCGAAAAAGGGAGAAAATTCACCGCTTTTGGATAAAAATTCGATGAAAAAACTACTTTATTGACTTTGCGCTATATGAAAGCATAGAACTTTTTTCTGCAGATAAAATATGATATAAAAAAAATAATAATAATACTCGATCAAAGTATTCACACACAGACACACTGGAAGGAAGAAAAAAAAAGGATGAACTTTTTTATGGAGAATCTTGTAACCCTAATGCACTTGTGAGTTGCATTTAGTCAGCTGCATAGTCAATGTTTACTTAGGATGGAATTCTGTCATACATTCAGCTTATTTCTCACTTTTTTTTCATTCCCAATCTCAAATCTCTCCCTTTGACGTGTGCCTGAGAATTGATCTTCTAAACTCCAAAGACCAAAATTCCACAATTTGTATAAATTTACTTTTTTTTCTATATTCTTACCTGATATCAACCGGCACTTTTTTTTCATCACAGCCAAGAACACAATTTTACAAACACTTGGAATTTACAAATTACAAATCAAAACTGAAAACTAACCCGAGAGAGAAATTCGAAAAAAAAACTTTTCGTTTGTTGGGTAGTATAAATAAAAATGCCAAGAAAAAAGAATTAGCAAAGAAAATAATAAAGAAAATCAAGTACTTCAACGTTTATAGTTAAAGGATTGAATGAATGAGCTATTCAATCAATAATCGAATAAAAGAAATTTATTGAAAAAAAATATTTTTTCAAATAAAAAAAAAGGAAACAAAAAATGAAAAGATTCATTCTTCTTGTAAATTTTTTTAATTGTAATTTTAATTGCATTGAAAATAATTGTGATCGCACTGAAGAAAAGGTGTGTGTGATGTGTACATAATTAGATGAATTGACTGTATATAATTGGGTGGCGAAAGAAAAAAATTATTTTCAATCTTTTGCAACAGCAAAAAAAGGAGTGGGGATCAAGGAAAGGTTGTGAGTTAATATTTATTTTAAAAAAAAGGAAAAAAAAATTATACAGTAAATTCTTGTGGATGGAAAACTTTGCACCTCATTCGTTGAGGGCAAGTCGCTCGCTGTTAGTCGTTTAGTGAAACGTTTATATGCGAAGGTCCCATATAAAATAAATCAAAAACCAGTGGATATTATAATGACAATGGGCCACGTAGGCCGCATTCTGCGTGCACGGCATCCGATGACATGGATATATACGCGGTAAAAAGGGATTCCCGTGCGTTTGTTTTCTTCTCACTCGTTTAGCAATTGAGCAACGTGCGCAAAATTATCTCAAAGGAAAGGCTCATATTAAATCAGAAAAAATTGAAGATCCTCCCCCCCACCCCACCTGACTTCTACCCATGAGAATTATAGTTGAAAATTTATTATTCATTATAGACAAAAAAAAAATTTTATTTTACACTGTAGAAAATGTAAAGTCACACTATTATCTGTAAGTATTTATTAAATATTATATTTAATTGGTTTAATTAATTCTTAATTAAACTAAATTAATTTAATTTAATTAATACTTAATTAAACTTAATTAATTTAATTTAATTAGAAAATTAAATAAAACACTATTTAATTAATAATTCAAATAGTTAATTTAATGAAATGAACTATTAATTAATTAATAGTTAATTGACTATATTTAATTTCTATTTAATTAATTATTATTTAAACACAATTTAATTTATAAATTAATATTTAAGTAATTAAAATTTTTTGTATTATTAAAGTAATCAATCGTACTCCAGCAATAATTTAATTAAATCATTTTTTCAATATTTTAATTATCAACTTAATTAATAATTTAGTTCGTAATTTAACTGTTAACTCAATTAGTAATTTAGTTAATCATTTAAACATTAACTCAATTGGTAATTTAGTTATTCATTTAATTACTTAATTAATTACTGAATAAATAAATTAATTACCAATTTTCTTAGTAATTCAATTAATAAATCAACTATAGTAATTTAATTCTTAAATTTATTACTTCTAACTTATATAATTAAGTTAATTAGCCATTTAATTAGTATTTTATTTACTTCATTAATTACTTCATTAGTAAATTAATTACCAATTTTGATAATAATTTAATTATTTCAGTTAGTACAATTGTTAATAATTACTTTGCTAAATTATTCATTCTTCTTATCTAGTAACTTAATTAGTAATTTAGCTGGAAATATAATTATTAACTTAATTAGTAACTTTGAAATTTAATAACTAAATTAATTACTTTCTCAATCATTATTTTAATTAGTAATTTAGTTAGTAATTTAGTTAGTATATTAATTACTTCTTTTTAATGAAGTAATTAATTACTTAATTAATTAATTAGCAAGTATTTAATTAGTAAATTAAAGAATAATTTAGATAATAATTTAATTAATTAATCAATTAGTCATTTATTTAACAATTTTATTAATTAACTATTATTAATTAACTATTTTTCTTATTTAGTAAATTAATCAGTAATTTAATTGGAAATTTAATTAACTTAATTAGTCAGTTTGTGATTTAATAACTAAATTAATTACTTTTTCAATTATTCTACTTATTAATATTTTGATTAGTAAGCAAATAACTAATTAATTACTCAATGAGTAATTTAATTAATAATTTAGTTAGTAATTTAATAAGTAAATAATAGACTTACATATTTAATATTTAATTAGCTATTTGTTTAGTAATTTAATAAATAATTAAAATAGCTATTTAATTACTAATTTAATTGATAATCTAATAAACATTTGTAATAGATAGCAAATTATTTCATTCAAGTAAATAGTTACTTGATGTAAATTTCTAAATATTAATTTTATTTTAATTAAATAAATATTCTCTTGTATCAAAGAATTTTTATTTCACTGCAGTGATAAAATATTCTTAGCAACTAATAATTTTTCAAAGCAAAAAAATACAGTTAATTAACTTAGATAATAATTATTATCACTTAAACCAAATAAATTGTTATTTGAACCAAATAATTTGTTTTTGAATTTATTTACTAAAATCAATTAATTCTAGAATTAAGGAAATGTTAGTATAATAATACAAAGATTTTTGAAATATAAAGAAAATAAAAATAAAAATAACAACATTAAAAATAATAAATATATTAATTATTATAAGATTAAACTTCATATATTAATTAATTACTATTTATTATACTAATTAAAATAAAAATGATTCATAAAATGAATATAATTAAATAAAACTAAAAATAATAAAAAATAAATAATTTAATAAAACTAAATTTTTAACAGTAACGTAATAATAATTAACACTTTTTGTTAAAATTCAAACCTAAAATTAATAACTTATTTACAATTGAACAAAAACAGAAAATAATTGGAAAAATTCCATCAAAAAATAAAAAGAAAAAAAGCAAAGAAATCTCAACAATTTAAATTTACAAGTCTATTATATATATATATAATTCTAAAGATTTCAAAAGCATTATTTGCCAAATGTTTGAAAATTTTAAATAACAATATTTAATAAAGAATAAATTTACAACTTTTTCCGTTACATTATGATATAATAATAAAAATTATAATAAATGATTTATTTGAATTAAACTTTCATTTTCAAAAGAAATTAGGAATAAAGAAATTTCTTTTCTGTTCCATTGACACAATGCACGAGAGACACTTTTTGAGTATGCAATATAAATGAAAAAAAAAATAAGTAAAAAATTCCCAAGATTCATAATTAAATTATTAATGAATTAATCACGCAAATTTATATTAAAGACACGTGTTGAATTAACATATTTCTCGCTATATTTTATCACGTAACATAGATAAGAGGTGAAAAAAATTCCCCTGTTAATATTAATTTAGTATAATTCTAAAATTCTAATAAGGAAAGTAATTATATGGCCACTGGCCCAGAAACCAAGAAAAAAAAATGTGTGTGTTCTAAATTTACGAATATTCAATTAAATAACTGAGATGATTACAGTCTTAAGTGTGTCCGTGAAAAAAAAGTGATAAATTTTTCTTTCCTATCTGTCAAAAAGTCATTTATGTGTGAAGCAATAAATTAACAATGTGTGAGAAAAAAATAGTCGACCTTCAATTTTTTCGCTTTGGCAGATTCTGTATTTTAATTAAGTTTTAAATTAAATTATTAAATTTTTTCTTTTTGCATTATTCTTATAAAATCTCAAAAAACATCATTTTAGAGAAGTTGTTAAAATTTTAGGTACTAATGTAAAAGTTAAATTTATTTTTAATTAACTTTCATAAAAGTTATTGATTTTTTACGTTAGCAGTACTTTATTTATTTATTTGTAACCAGAAAACTGTTTTTGTTAAACAAATTTTTTTAATCCTCGGATTTAAATTAGAAACGCATACAAAAATCTTTTTCAAAATTCGATTTTCCTTTGCCCTGACAAAACTGTCCTGAAAGTTGTCACTTCTATGTTTCGATCGAAACTATATATATTAAAAAAATTATATTATTATTATTATTTATTAAATAAATTGCAAAAGTATATACTTTTGCATTCAAATATTCAAATATTCTTACTTAAAAAATTAAAATATATTTTTATTTTTTAATTTCTAGACGCCAACGACCTACAAATTTATTCTACTATTTAAAAAAATTCAGAGTTCAATAAATTTAAAATAATTTTTTTTAGCAACGTAAATAAAAAAATATTTATGCCTAGATTTGTAAATTGTAAATAAATTTGTAAAATCATTAAAATAATTACTCGGTGGTTGTTAGAGTCAATGATTACGAATTCGATGTCAATTTTACAGAATTCAAAATGGTGGATCCAATATGGCGGACAAAAATCGCATTGTTTGAAAAAAGTCGGGAGTTAAAGTGTTAAAAGATAATTGAAATTATGAATTATTTTAGAGAAGATTTTTAAATTATTATTCGAAATAAAATAAATAAATATTCTTTTTGAATTTTCAGAAAAAAAATTTTCCACTGAATAATAACGAATTTACATAATAAATTAACAGAATTAACATAAATTGGAAGCGGAAGTACCTTTTTATTGGTACATAAAATTTTTTTTTCAAGAAAAAGTGAAGGTTTATTTCCGATGTATCAAGAATCAATGACGGAATAAAAAATTTGGTTTGTTTGTTGAAAATAGTTTATGACATCTTCTGTCTTCTCTCCTCATCTCTCTGTCTCTCTATCTATTTAGTTATAACAGGTGAATCGACGTGAAGAATTCGAGAGTATTTTTATATACACGTGCCGGGGATTTGAATTTGTAATGTGAACGCGCTTTTGTCGATCCCGCGTGAAAATTGAATGCGCCCGGTAATGGGTTTGAATTTGTACCGGTTGTCCATTTTACAAGGATGAGCCACGCTGTTGTTAACAAAAGATGCGAATCGTTTGGGTTCACTTGCATACGAAAAGAAGCAGCCGATTCGTAACTAATTTATCCTTGATGCGTGAAAACTTGTCAGTAGTTCAGAAAAGTGTGACTTTTGCCATTGTTACTGGGCCATTATCTGCTTTCTTCTTCTTTTTCTTTTTTTTTTTTATATAAAAAACATATTATTTAATCCTTCTTCTTTTTTTGAGAAAAAATTATTTTCAAAGAAATTCCGCAGATGAAAAATGAGACGGGAAAGGAATTAATTTTTCTTTTTCGAAAACAATATTATTAATTGAAAATTATTGTTTTTTC